TATTCAGAATACAGTTTTTACTTTCTCAGAAGGGACTCTCCTGCTAGTTACATGTTTTATTTCTTTCTCAGTTGCTATAATTATGAAGCACAATCATATATTTGGGTTTTCAATAATTCTTTCTAGTATGAACATTATTACATTACACAAATAGTTTTTGCACAGGTTGAGGACTCTTACTATGCTAAATAGTTATCTACACGTAATTATATACAAATTATATACAAATATTCAGCAAAATATTTTTGGAATAACCTTATTCTACTATCTTTAGTCTAAAACTCTCCATCCACACACAACTAATATCAGACCTAACTACTACACTATGGCAAACAAAGATAAAATTAAGAACTTCCCTAAATTTACATTTAAGATAATTCACTATAAAGGCAAGATTCTACTCCAATGAATCCCATAGCAACAGATTTTTCTTTGATAAAGCTATTAAACTATATTAGCTAGAGTTTCTTAGATACAGGGATTTACTCACAATCAAAGAATATGCCTACATAAGTGCTACCTATGCTCTGTCCCTCCCTGTAAGACTTATTTCCATAGAAAATAGAATATGTACTTCAGAGGGTGAGAAAAGAATGAAAGCATAGTGCTAAAGAATGCTAGTTCTTTTCTCAATAGCAATCTTGTGTCAGAAATCATTCCCACACCAACTACTCAGCACAGCTATTCTAATGTTCCCTACTCCTAAAATCTCAACATTTTCCCTGAAAAGAGATTCATTGAAAAAAATACTAGCAACTAACATTTCAGGTTTACCTGACAAAAATTTTAAAAGAGAGGATACAAATTTTATAGTGGTCACAACAGATTTCAAATGCCATAAAACAATTATACTCAAACTATTCCAAAAAACTGAAGAGGAAGGGCAAGTTCCAAATACATGGTACAAGGCCAGCATCACCTTGATATCAAAACTAGACAAAGACACCACAAAAAATAAAATTACAGTCCAACCAACATTTGTGGTGATCATAGGGAATCCTCAACAAAATATTAGTAAACCAAATTCAAAAACACATTAAAAAGAACATTCACCAAAATCAAGTGGAAGTTATCCCAAGGATGCAAAGACGGTTTGATATCTTCAGATCAATCAATGTGATACACCACATTAACAAAAGGAAGGATAAAAACAATATGGTCGTCTCAACAGATGCCAAAAAGCATCTGAAAAAACTCAGCATCCATTCATGATAAAAACTCTCAACAAAGCAGGTACAGAGGAACATACCTCAACATAATAAAGGCCACGTAAGACAAACCCACAGCTAACATCAGACTCAATGCCAAGAAGCTAAAAGCTTTTCCTTTAAGATCAGGAACAAGACAAGGATGCCCACTCTCACCACTTCTATTCAACACAGAACTGCAAGTCCTACCTACAGCAATCAGACAAGAAAAAGAAAGGAACGGCATCCAAGTCGGTAAAGAAGAAGTATAATTGTCACGATTTGCAGACGTGACACTGCATAGAAGATGTAAAAGACTCCACCAAAAAGCTACTATAATTAATAAATGAATTCAGTTAAGTCACAGGGTTCAAAGTCAATGTTCAGAAATCTATTGTATTTCTACATGCAAATAATGAACTAACAGAAAGAGAAAATAAGAAACCAACCCCATTTACGATTGCATCAGAAAGAATAAAATACTAGGAATAAATCTAACCAAGGAGGTCAGAGACCCATACTCTGAAAACTGTAAGACACTGATGAAAGAAACTGAAGAAGATACAAATAAATGGAAAGCGACTCCATGCTCATGAAAGGAAGAAGCAATACTGTTAAAATGGCCATACTGCCCAAAGCAAGCTACAGAGTCAATTAATCCCTATCAAAATACCAATGGCATTTTTCACTGAACTAGCTCAAACAATCCTAAAATTTGTGTGGAGCCACAAAAGACCTCAAACCGCCACAGCAGTTTTGAGAAAGAGGAACAAAGCTGGAGGTATCATGCTCCCTGATTTCAAACTGTACTACAAAGTTACAGTAGTATAGTATGGTACTGGCACAAGAACAGATACACAGACCAAGGGAACAGATTAGAGAGAGCCCAGAAATAAACCTACACCTATATGGTCTATTAGCATATGACAAAGAAGGCAAGGATATGCAGTGGAGAAAACATAGTCTTATCTATAAATGGTGTTGTGACAACTGGACAGCTACAGGCAAAAGAATGAACCTGGATCATTGTCTTATACCATACACAAAAATAAACTCAAAAATGGATTAAAGACCTAAATGTAAGATCTGAAAACTTGAAACTCCTAGAAGAAAAAATACAGGCAGTCAACTTTTGGATATCAACATCAGAAATTTTGGGACAGATAATGTCCCCCCAGGCAAGGATAACAAAAGGAAAATAAACAAGTGGGACTACATCAAACTAAAGTTTCTGCACAGTCATGGAAACCATCAACAAAATGAAAAGGCAGCCTACTCTGTGGGAGAATATATTTGCAAATGATTTATCTGCTAAGGTGCTAATATCCAAAATACATATAAAGGACTTGCACAGCTCAACACCAAAAAAAAGAAACCAAAAAACTTCTGAATGGAAAATGGGCAGAGAACCTGAAGAGACATTTTCCAAAGAAACATACAAGTGTCCAACAGACATATGAAAAGATGTGCAATATCACTAATCATCAGGGAAATGCAAATCCAAAGTATAATGAGATATCACCTCATAGCAGTCAGATGGCTAATGTCAACAAGACAACAAATAACAAGTGTTGATGAGGATATGGAAAAAAAGGCACCCTCATCCACTGCTGATTGGATTGCAAATTGGTGCAGCCACTGGGGAAAGCAATATGGAGGTTTCTAAAAAAAAAATGAAAAATAGAAATACAATACAAGCCTGCAATTCCACTTCTGAGAATTTACCTGAAGAAAATAAAATCATTAATTTGAAAAGATACATGCACTCCTCTGTTTATCGCACCATTTTTAAGAGTCAAAATATATAAACAACCTAAATGTCTACTGATAAATACACACACATATACACACACATACAAAATAGCGTTTTAATCATCCATAAAGAAGAATGAAATCTTGCCACTTGCAATAACAATTAGCTGTATGCTAAGTTTTGTGCATTTTATTTATGTATCTCAAAAAAAAAAAAACAAAAGAGTATTGTGAGTTCAACCTACCATCTTGATCACTTTCTGCATGTTATTAACTCCTAAATAGTCTACACTCCAATGTTAACATGGTTATATCTGTAAATTTCAGACTTGTATATCCAACTTCTATTTGACATCTTTTCCTGGATTTCTTACAAGCACCTCAAATTTGGTATGTCCAAATCTGAATCACTGAATTTGTCCCCACCAAATGTACACTAGTCACACATCATCCATGTACCAGCACCCTTGGAGCAAATTCTTCACAACTCCCTTTCCATCAGTTATCACCAAGTAGTTCCTATAAAATAGATTTAACCTTTTTCCATTTTAACTGCTATTAACTTTGTCTAAACTGCCATCATTCATTATCTCTCACCTGGGCTAGTGTAGTAGCCTCTAATCTGTCTTATTGCTTCCCCTTTGCGTTTAAATCATTCTCCCAATATTAGCCAGAGCCATTGCTGAAACATACAAACCAGATCATATCATTGCTTTGCTTAAAAGTCTTCTATTACTTCTCACTGCTGTTGGAATGAATTTAAAACTGTGACGTTAAATGCCATCTCTTTAGAATCTGGAGGCTAGATACTTAAAGACCTCTTTGCTGCCAACAGCTTATTAGCCTGCCTGGATTCTATAATTTCGCTTTCCCTTTTCTTTATTTCAATATCTTACATCAGTGAGTTCATCTTCAATTAATACAGCTACAATTCCTCTTAACTATAATGCCTATATCACAAAACTGCTGTAGTTGTACTCTTCAAATACTAGCCATTTCTGACTATCTCTAGCTAGACCAGTCACTTCAGCAACTATTCTTCCCAAATGAACAAGTCCACTTAAAGGCCTAGATGTCACTTAGTCTAAATTACTATAAAATGGAATAACCACCAGTTAAGCCTTAATATATGACAGGTTAGTCCAGGCTATGCCACTGAGTGATCCTGGATAAAAATCCGAACTACTCTAGGACACAGCTTCTTTTTCTGTCAAATGCAGGGGTAGGGTTGCATGATTTCTAAGATCTCTTCCATGTCTGGTGGGCATATATTCCAAGACCTAATTTAATGTTTCTTTGGGAAAAAATGTAGTACCTCAACCTCAAATCCCATGAAAATTATACAGAGGGTAATATTCTCTTTCAGGTTTAAGAATAATTTTCATCAAAGAGGAAGAGTTCAACTAGAGGTTTCTGAAGATAACTTCAGATGAACAACTACGATGGATTCACTTTGTCAAGTTTTAGTTTTTTCCTCAATTGCCCAAAAAAACACACACAACCTCAAGAACTGAAGATATGTAACAACAGCAGCAAGCACTTAAACCACTATTACTACTGCATAGTAAAAACAATTGAAAGGCTTTAGTTCATACTGGGTAAGATCAGAAACTAATAATCATACCTAAGCAGAAAATGGGGAAAAAAATTAGGCACAGTAGGTACCAAAAGCTTCTTCCTGGAAGATCAATAAAGATCAATAGCGCATACTGATTTACACAAAGAGCCAACATATATCATCCTTGCTTCATATGCTCTCTTCATTTTTCTAATAATAATAAAAGGGGACACTCTCCAGACAGTTACTAGTCTGGTCTAATGTTTCAACGATACTTAAATCTGATTTCAGTCAATTCTGCCTTGATCAAAACCACAAAAACCAAAAAAAAAAAAAAAATTCCCTCCTTTCCTAATAATATAATTCCTAAATACCTTCCCACAAACTGTATAACTTTTAAAAATGGAGCTCTATTCCCACTGACACTTAATTACTCTGCCAAGTTTGAATACTGCTCTTTCTGTTGATGGTTTTCACAAATTAAGTGGTCCACATCACTCTACCTGATACATGCCAACTCCAATGTGCTTCGGTTCAATTTTTACCAGCTCAGCTAATGGATCTTGTACACGCCTTGCTATGGAAACTGAAAAAACAGAAGCAGAAAACAAGTATAGCTTAATGTGAAAAGCAGTATTCAGATAATTACTTATGTACCTCTTAATGCAAGTATTTAATTTCATCCCTTTTCATCCCCCAACAAAGACACCAATAATTTAACTAAGTTTCAAGGTTGCCTTGAAAAAAATGCAAAATTTCAGGATTAATTATGTTATCAGAATTCTCAGGCATTCCTGAACACAAACAGATTGAAAGGGTTATATATTTGGGAACACAAATAAAACACTTAGTTCTTATACTTACACAATTACCTGTTTATTCTTTAAATACAGCATAGTAGGGCACCTCACACTTTAAAATACAGGAGAAAATGTTTCACTTTATAATAATCCTGCATTATAATAAATATGACATACATTCGTACATGAAACATGCTAATTAGGACTAGATCTTGACAATGATAAGTAAATGATGGAATCATATCTTATTGCAAATAGAGACCAGGTCGGTGGTAGTGAATATACTTGTATTGCCTTAAGTACAACTGCAGGATTACCCTGTAAAGTAATCTGAGTCTCAGCTCTTCGTCTCCTAACACACCTACAGTCCAAGTCACATCCCTTTTTTGAACATCACAATCCATGTTCAAGAACTTGAGTTAGATTCAAACATTCCTGTATTTGTGTAATGATTTTACTTGATCATCATTTATTACCATCTTTTTTTAACTAAATAGTAACAAAATTTCCTATCTAATTTAGCTTTAAGATCTAAAGAAAATTTAATGTGAATATTAAAGATACTTCTAAAGGCAGCTCTTTTTTTTCCCAAGTAGCATAGTTACATTGGGTCCTTACATATGAACAGCTTTCATTTTCTAAATACATGAAACCTAGTCAATGTCACCTACTTACATAGAAGGTTGGATGAAATATAAATTAAGTGAAAACATTAAGGCCATCACAGGAAATCCCATGTCTGTTTTCATGTTAAATTGTTCAAGGTCTTGCAACAGAAGTCATCTCCTGAAAGTGACTATCAGATTCTCCAGTCACTGATTTGTACTACTTCTCAACAGAGATAAGATCTATTGTGAACATCAAGTTCACCCATGTTCATGCAAGTCTTTTCCATATCTTTTATTGTTACTTCTAACAAACAGTGACTACTGCAGCTTGCAAAGTCAGGTTAGAGAACAAGAGCCTGGTGTCACACCATCTGCCTATTTCTCCCACGGAAGAGATGAGGATTCCAAGGCCTTCACATACACTTTTCTTATCAAATCTCACAAAAGGTAAATTGGCATAAGCATTACAATTATAGGAAAATGCTTTCCTCCAATGACCACATTTATAATTACACACTGAAAATAAATGCCACCAGAGAAACACTTGATAGTCTCTAAAGGCAAATATTATTTCTTTAGTCTTTAAATATATATTAGAAAAGGAAGGATTTTCAAACATGTATATACATTGCCAAAATACTTTCAGATTAAAAAATACAATCCACACCAGTAAACCTAATCAAGGATATAGATATCAGAACAGTCACTACAGGAAGGTAGTATTAGAAATTCAATAAAAGGATATCAATAATAAGTATATCTCAAATCTACCCCTATAGAAAACCCACAATATGAAAACCTAAACTTAGAAACTGGTTGGATTAGTTGTATAATTTGGTAAGTGTGGGTAGATTCCCATATTTAAAATTTTAGAAATACACTAAGTATGTTCTACCTGTTTTCAATCTAACCAATTCACTGCCAGTGTCTCCTCCATTCATTCTAATATTGCTAAATGTGACAACAATTGACTGGAAATGACAGTTTACTAGGAAATGATGGTTTCTAGGTGACAAATTAATTCTACAATAAGTCCCAAGAGCATCTGGAGTTATTGTCCGCAATAAACAACCTCAACATAGTTAGTAATATTTCTAGAATTGGTATTTCCCTTCCAAATGCTGTTCACTCTAGCATAAAAACCCAAGCAAGGAAGAAATGGGAGAGAAGAGGGAGGAAGGAGATGAACACTGAAGTATAGTTCAGAAGTTGTAGGTCCAGACTTGGGAGAGAAGATGGTGTTGTTTCTTGCTGGCAGTCTCATCAAGAAAGGAGTTACTTGGTAGACAGTAATAATGCATGCAGACCTGTAGGTTGAGAATGATCAAGCTGATAACAGATAGGGGTGTGTGTGTGTATACATGGCTTATTACACTGTTGGAGATTTCTAAGAACCTGAGAAAACTTAAGTTAATACTTCAACATAGGAAGCACAATTCATCTTGAAGTGAAAAAAATACCCAGAATAGAAAATTTTAAGCTTTAAAGTTTAAGGACTAATTAGCAAATCCTCAAACATGAGTTTAGTTCATGCTCCCAGTCAGAGTCAATTACTTGTTTTTGTTCAGTTACAGAAACAGTTCAGTTATGGTCACAAAGGAACGAAATACCTGAATTGCAAGACTATGTACGAATTTCATTAATAATACTCAGTAAAGCAGAGACTCAGATATAGTCCGTATCCTGGGACTTACAGTTAACAGACAAGACTGTAAAACATTTTGGCAAGGAACTCATCTACGTGAATAATGCCTGACTTTTAGAACTATTTCCTCTGTTTCATCTTTATGTTTGATTTATTTCAAAATATTGCTTTAGTATAGGGGGCAAAGACCCAGGCAAAAGTCATTAAAGTGAACATCCACGAGGCAGACTGTTTTCTCTGTCTCACTCCACAATAACAAATAATTAAGGGTTTAAAGTACTTAAAAGGATTTGGGCAAACAAAATAAGACAGATAAGGAGACTTATTATCTGTTACAGAACTAAATTAAAACTGCATTTCATAATCTCTACATGTTACCTATAAAACAGTTTTTAGCAGAATAATGTCACCAGTGAAGAGTTGTTTTTTGTTTTTATGCAGAACCGATCCCACAAAAGGCGTGGAGAAATAAAATACAAATTCCCACCTTTGAGGTTTTTACCATGAAAAATTTCAACTAGGAAGGTGATTTTCATTTTACAGAGCCTCCTCATTATCCATAATCATGAGGAATAAGGATGGCCTGGATGTAGAAAATCCACTAAGGGTTCCACAACTCATTTTGGAAAACCATTTCATTCTCTAACATCAAATGATCTAATAGGCACAAAAGGAGGAAGACTGTTCTGTCTTTCCAACTTTACTGTGCATGCTCATTAACAAACAGAGGTGTTAATGAGCAGCATAAAAGTATCTAAAACATGGTCCAAAGAAGAAATAAACAGCAAGTAAACCCAAACTTACTTAAGTTGTGCTCTCAGGATATGACAAGGCCAAGCTAAACCACCACTCCCCGTGTTTCACGGAACTCAGCAGAGCCAGCCCTGCATCATCCTTCTCACCCTGGAGTGTTTTCTTGGGAGTGAAACCAAGCCACTTTCCAGCAAAGTCTTTAGGGGTCAGATAGGGATATGCTGTCATTCAACCACACTGGCTGCCTCTCTCTCCAGAAAATATGACAGGCATGTGTTTTTAAAATCAGTTCTGCTCATTTTCTATGACAAGGATTGGAGTGCTGCTTGTAGCATTTTACTTATTAAACCAAGAGGATTTTAATTTCTATTGAAATAATATTATGCTTCTATTATTTCATCTATTTAACATTCTTTTTTTGAATAGCTTTCATTTTTAAAATCAGCAAAGTTTGTCCAGCTACTTATATTTTAAACCAGAACAAATATAAGTATTAAATCTATATCAAAAGCATTTGGAGGTTCCCACTAAGAAAAGAAATTCAGTCCCACTGTGGTTATACTGGAAATCTGTTCAACTGGCCCATTAGCTAGGCTATGGAAATGGGTATATATTACAACAAATTTTTCCTAATAGATACTCACTATGGAAAGTTTGAAAAGCAAAAGTAGAAAATAAAAATTCCTAATCACACAGTTACTGGCCAGGTATTTTCTTCATGGTAAATGCATATCTATATTTTAAAAACACAAATTACTTTTATTCTATATCAACTTTATTGTAATTTAAAAATATATGTCAAGAGCAATGTCTCATGTCATTAAACCTGGATTTTTAATGAGTGTGTAAAATTTCAACTGACGGACATACTATTCTCCTAATGCAATTGCTTCCAATATTTTGCTTTACTAGCAAACTTACATAAATCTTATCAGTCCTTCTTAATACTGCCTTGAAAGAGATCCCTGAAGGGAAAGCTAACAGGTCAAGAGATATTTTCAAAAATTTCATTTTGATATTTATTGACTATATTCTAGAGATAACAATTTACACTTCCATCAGCAGTACATATGAATGTTCATTTTACTGTATCCTTCTCACTTGCACAGATGTTTATCATTTTATTACTTTACTCAACAGTTAGGTTGAAATAATGTCCCCTCATTTAGTGTGGGTTTTTTTTTGATGAAGACAGACATTTATATTTCATCAATGGTTAAGTGGTATGTAGAGACTCTCTATATAATTTTATGTAAATGTTTAAAAAAAAACCAATACATGCATAAAAATCAACACCAGAACCTTAATAATAAAATAAGTAGTTATCATATGTGCATATGTGGCAAATATTTCCTTAGTTCATCACCTGACTTTAAATTTATGTGTTAAATGACCTAACAAACCCAGTTGTAGGTATATCCAAGAGAAATGAAAACATACATCATAAATATGTGTACACAAATGTTCATAGTGGAATTATGCATAATAACCAAAAGGGGAGATAACCCAAATTTGCATCAACCAATGAATGGATAAACAAAACGTGGTATATACCCACAATGCATAGTTTAGTGGCAAATGGAATACTATTCACCCCTAAAAACAAATGAAGTTATCTACAGCATGTATGAACCTTGAAAACATTATGCTAAGTGAAAGAAGACAGTCACAAAAGGCCACATATTATATGATTCCATTTATAGGAAATACCCAGAACAGACAAATCTACAGAAACAGAAAAAGAGATTAATAGTTGCCTAGGGGTAGGAATGAGGAGGCA